ATTTTTTTTTGATTGTGATTATGAATTGTGATTAATGACATGGATTAGTGAATTAATCACATTGAGATTGTGGATATTGTTACATGGTGGAATAAAGAAAAAAAGGGATTTTGTAAATTCATTATTTGTTGTTCTTTGTTTACTGAAGTTTTGCTGGTGGTATGGTATATGTTGATTTATTGGATGTTGTAGTGATGTTTAATCATGTGTGTATGATTAGAGAACTAAATGCACAAAGAATGTTAGGTTGTTTAGCTTCTTTTGGGGGCACGTACAACAAAATTACGTGTGAATTGTGTTCACGTGATTTTTTTTGGGACTTGCTATTTACGGTTTGAAAATTGCTATTTGCGGTTTATAACAAAAAAAAAACTTTATTTCTCTAAAACCCCAAAATTTCCCAAAAAAATCCAACCCCCCCCAAAAAACTCGTAAAAGCCCAACTTGGGCGCCCATTCATGCAGCGCACGCCCAAGTTGGGCGTGCAAGCTGCATTTGGGCGTCCAGTGCAAAAAAATTTTTTTTTTTTTTTTTAATTGAACGCCCAAGATGGGCGCCCAAGGCGTTGTTTGAAAGGCGGTTATTTTTTTTTGGGTAAATTTTTGGGGTGAAGCCCATCTTGGGCGTTCCAATATGTTTTTGCGAAAAGAAAAGCCCTATAAATCGATTTGTAGGGCTTTTTAACATGAAATTGGTTCCGTAATCGACCTACCCAATGCATATTACACATAAAAGAGTCGAAATTACATCAAAAAATTGAAGCCCAACCCTTCTTCAAGCTTGATTTCGAATTTTCGAATTTTTTTTTTTTTTTTTTGCTATTTGCAGTTTGGGGGGTTTTTGGATTTTTTTGAAAAGTTTTGGGGTTTTAGAGAGATAGAGTGTTTTTTGTTATAAACCGCAAATAGCAATTTTCTAACCGTAAATAGCATTTCATTTTTTTTGGGTTAAATTACGGCCATCTCCTTATGTAAAATGTTAAATTACGAAAAAAATCCGCAGGTTCGGGTAATTACGACCACCCTTTAATTTTGAATTTTATTACACGTCCATTTTTATAGTGTTAAATTCAATATAATCTTTTAGATTTCGTGAAATATTCTCTAACTTGTACTCGTTTCATGCAAAAATGCAGTTCTTGATGCACTACAATCTGATATTTACAAACCAAGAAACACATCTGTCATCTTATGATTATCTTGTTTCAAAATATGGAACTCAAATGAAGTAAAACAAGTACAAACGAGAGAATATTCTACGTAATCAAGAAGATTCCACAAACTTTGATATCGCAAAAATGATCGTGTACGAAAATTCATAGCTAATGAGTGGTTGTAATCACTAATTTTTTCATAATTTGATCGGGGGTCGCTGTAATTTACCCATTAATTTTTTATTTTATCTTTTTGCCAAAAAATGGGAATTTGGCGGAGCTGCTAACAGTTGTGCAGCGGACACGTGGAGGAATGGTAATTGGAAAAAACGTAAGTAGGCTATAAATACAAACTTTATTACAGCAAAGAACACAACATCTCCTTGTTTTTCCTTCAATGCTATAAATACAGATCAGGTTTCAAATAAAAAACCAAATTTCCTGACCAGAAGATCAAAAACCAAATAAAATCCAATACAAATAAAGCTTCTACTAAGACCAAACTAAAATAAAAGGGTAAAAATTGAATCAAATAGAAAGAAACCAAAAAGAAACAAAAAAAAAAGGAAAAAAGAATCAATTCTGAAGCATAATAAATCGAAACACGATCACACCACACACACCTTAGTATCTTTTCCCAAGAACAATGCCAAGGATAATTGAGACAAGAGCCACACCTAAGACGAGCGTGATGTTCATGGCCGGAGATGCCGCGGCAGCATGTGCTTGCGTATCTGAGGGCGATGCTCCAGTTGAAGTTGCCTCCGTTTTTTTCTTACTCTTTCGCTTGGAAGGAGTTGAAGATAGAGACTCAAATTCAATCTCCCTCGATTTTACGGTTTCGTCCTTGTGTTCCGAGATGGCATCCTGCATGCATGATAGTTTGGATATAAGATATTGTATTTGTATCTTTCATAAGAGGGCTCTAAATCTTATATAGACCGTACTTTTAGCTTTTAAGATGTACTCTTTTTGAAAGGAATCGAGCTTTTTTTTTCATTTATTAAGTGTTTTTGTACTCCTATGTGTTTTTGAGTCAACGGAAGGAATAAAGCTAACCTTTTCTTTCGATTTAGCATCAGCTAGCTGCAAGCTCTGCTCAAGATCTTTCACTTTGTTTTCTAGAAGAATAACTTCTTTTTTCTTGGATTCAACTTCTTCACACGATTGCTTCAAAGCGGCTTCTCGCTCCAGGTCCTTTTGGTAGATCGACTTTTTCTGTTTGCATGCAATGAAAAGACAAGAAGTTAATGATTCGGTATTTATCTTCAAAATCTTTGGAATGAAAGATGTTTTTCTTACATGTTCAAGTTTATCAAGTCAAATTATCCAGATAAATACATTACAAAAAAACGGTAGATTTCTATGGCAAAAAGGCTTTTCAACTCTGAATGTATGAAGATTTGAAATAGTATGAATTACCTCTTCTTCAAATCGAGCTTCCGCGGTTGCTAACTTTTCTTCAAGCTCCTTCAAATGATTTTGCAACTCAACTTTCTGAACAACTTCTTTGTCGAGGATTTCCAACTTGGATTTCAAGGCATCTTCATTTGATTTTTGTTCTTTCAACTGCTCTTCAAGTTGTACTATCATTGTCTGTAGATCCTTCTTGGAACTTTGAAATGTCTCGTTAATCAAATTATTCTCTTCCATAACCGAAAATATCTGAAAGAAGCAGATGATCGATATAAAACTCTTAAAAAAATAGATCATAAGTCGGCAAAATTAAATGTCGTATACTAACCTGAGATTGTAGCTTTTCGCCTTCGGAAACAAGCCTCTCTCTCAGCTCTTCGACTTCTTTCTTTGCAGTATTTAACTCTTCAACTGTGCAATCCTTCTCTGACGAAACACTGGACAATTTCGTCTGTAAATCACTTAGCTCAGATTTGTACAAAGCCAGATCCTGAGTGAGTTTCGAGTTAGCTTCAATCAATGCTTCAGTCTCCTTGTTAAACTGACCAGATTTCTTCTCCAATTCACTCTCCAGATCCTTAGATTTAAACAAAGTTTGTTCCAGTTCTAATTCACGACTCTTCACAAGTGAAGATGCTTGCTCAGCCCGTTCTTCATGTGTCTTCACATGCACTTCAAGAGCTTTTAGCTTCTCGTGCAAGTCCTTCGCTTCTGAATCTTTTGAACTATGTGCGTTTATAGCTTCTTCCAGCTTTGCTTTTGCCTCTGAAAAGCGAGCTTCAGCAGCCAAATGAAGCTCCGATACTTTAGAATGCTTTTCCGTCAGTTCGGTTATGGTGTTCATGTGAGAAGCAAGTTGCTGTGCAGAGATTTCCTTCTCGGAAACCGTAGTAGTTAGCTTTTCTTCAAGACCTTTAACTTTCTCACTGAGCTGAGCAATATTCTCAGACAAGACCGCATTTTCGGACAGATACGAGTCAGCTTTAACTTCTGCTTCCGAAATTTTTGCTTTCAGTTCTTCATTGATGCCCTCAGAAGAAGCCAGCTTCGCCAATATCTGATCAAGATCTTTGTTGGCAGTTTCGTATCGTTCAGTAGCTTCTACAAGCTGCACTTGATAACTTTTGACTTGACTTTCGAGAGCCTGTAATTTTTCATGCAAATCTTTCGCCTCGGAATCTCTGGTGGTGAAATTCGAAACCGCCTCCTGGAGTTTCAGGTCTGTTTCCCTTGATAGTGTCTCGTGTGACGACACAAGTTCTGACCTATGTGCAGTCACTTCCTCCAAGGCTTTGCTCTGTTGCTCTAGCTTCTCCTCAGCTAACTTAAGTTTGTCGATGACTTCAGTTTCCCTTATTACAGTCGCTTTAAGGTCGTTTTCAATGCTCGCCAACTTCTCCTGTGAGATGGTTAGTTCATTCTGCAAGATGGTAAGTAGGTTTTCTGTCTCGGAAAGCTTCTCATTTAAGGTTTTCGACGAATCTTTTAAGTGCCCATTCTCTTCGGTTTTCGAATTCAAGATTTCAGACAATTCCTTTTCCTTGTCTGTGGATGCTTGCAATGCAGCCTCTAGACTCGATGCTTTTAACTGCGCCACCTCAAGCTCTGCTCCAAGTTCAGACACTTGTTTACCGCTTTTTAAGGATTCTGCTTCCACATTCTCACATTTCTTCTCTAACAAGCTTATTTGATCTTCGAGCTCCTTAATCCTATTTTTTTCTGTCTCGAGAAGTAATTCCAACTCGCCCACCTTTTTTACAGCATCCCCCGCTTTGGAATCCGATGTCTGTATCAAACTCTCGAGTTCAAGGCTACGCTCATGAACAGTATTCGCCCGTCCCTCGTGCTCCGATGCTTTTTCCATCACATTCTTTAATTCAATCTCGAGCTCAGAATTACGGGATGTTGACTTGGTCAACTCAGACTCCATCTCAGCTACTTTGGCCTGGAATTCTTGCAACTTGGTTTCCAGTTGTTGCTTAACTTCCACCTCCTTCGTAAGATCACCATTCAGTTCGGATAGTTTCTGAGATAACTCTCTCAATTCCTTTTGATAATCATGGCTTTTGAGTTCTTCCAAATTCAGTAGCTGCTCTAGCTCAACAGTCTTCTGCTCGGCTGCAATACAACGGGTTTCAAATTCTTTCAGCTGCAATTTTGATTCTTCTGTCGCCACATTCAACGCTTGCTGTGTGCCCTCAAGCTCCCGATTTTTGTGGCTGTGAAGCTCTTCAATGGCTTTCAATTTCTCTTCAAGTTCTTTGCTGTTAGCAACTGCTTCCGATAAAAGGGTATCAGCCTTGAAGAAATTCTCGTCGGATTGCTGCAGCTTCGCCTCAAGGTCATTGCACAGCTCCTTCATCTGGACCATATTATTGGTCAGATCAGACACAGCATCTTCTAGCGCTTGTTTCTCTTTAGCCACTTTCTCTAAATCCTCCTGCGCGATTTTCGCCTTCGTTTCATGGCTTTTCAAGAACTCTTCGACCCCTTCCTTTGCAGCAACTTCCTCCTTCAGCTTCGATTTCACATCTTCAAGCTGCGAGACGTTTTCGTGAAGGCTTTCCTTAGTTGCAGCGAGCATATTCTCAAGCGAGGCAATATCTTCTTTCGTCTTGGATTCAGCAGCTTTTGCAACTTCTAATTCTTGGGCCAATTCGCTGATAAGAGTTTCTTTTGAAGCTAGCCTCTGCTCCACATCTTTTACCTGTGATTTCGAAAGCTCCAATTCTCCATTAACAGTGGCGAGCTCAGCAGTGGTGATCTTCAGCGCCTCTTCAACTTTCTCACTCTCGGAGATCTTTTCGGACAAGCTTTTTAGCTCGTCCTGTAATAAAGCTGTTTGATCTTCCATAGCTTTAGCACTTGATTTCGCCAGCTCAAGGAGCTTTTCGAGTTCCAAGGCTTTCTTAGTCTCTGACTCCACATGCAAGCCGCTTTGCTTGTGCAACTCCTCGAACTTCTGGGCTTCTTCAGCCGATTCTTGCAACTTTAATTCAAGCTCTTTCATCTGCTTGCTTGAGGTCTCTAGCTCAACACTGAGACGATCGAATGCTTCCTTTGTATTTGTCAACTCCGTGTGCTTCTCTTCTTGAGCTTTTAATGCCTCCTGCAAAGCTTTAAGTTGCTCACTATATTTGTCCTCTGCTTCTGAGCTTTTTTCGAGCAGCTTCTTGTTGTTGAGTACGAGCTCTTCATGCTTCTTCGTGCTTTCTTCGAGCTTTTCTTTTGTCAGCAAGATTTCGTTCTTCAGGTGAGTGTTCTCAGATTCAGCTTCCTTTGCTACCCCGGATATTTTTTCCAGTTCATTTTCGAGCTCCTTGATTTTTTCTTGTGACTCGAGCAGCTCTCGAGTTGCCTCTGGACTGCTTACTGCGCGCTCGATGACAGACGGTTTTTCCTCCTTTTCCACCTTTACGAATTCTCCTTCGAGGGCCGTTTCTTCTTCTTTCTTTGCTTCCTCTTCTATTATCTGAAATGAAGTGAGAAGAAAATTATGGATCTCAACTCGTATGACAGTGCTAGCAGCTACGATCGATGCATAAAAAGTAAAGATTTTTACCTTAATGGGGACGCCATTGCTCTCAGCCTCGTTGGCCAACTTTGCTGCTGGTATTTCATGACTTATAACTGTTTCTTCTGCCATGGCTTAATGTATCGACTTGTGAGAGGATCTGTATGCTAAATAAGATAAAATGACAAGAATTAACGCTAATTGCAGATATCGAAATTTAAACACACTTTCCAATACGAAAAATTACAGGGACAGGAGAAAGTAAACAAGTGAATCCTCTACATCATCTCAAACATATAGCAAGGCAAATAAAATGGACAAAAAAATTATTTTTCCAAAAAAATAAATTAAAACACTGTTCGTTTACTTAAAATAAATTGTATATTTTAATAATTCAAATCGAAAGGTAGGCTATGATGGAGAACTAATGATACCAGTCAACACCAGTAAACTATAGGATGAAATAATACAAGTGGTTCTTTGTTGACTACAGATAAGATATTAAATACATGCAAGTATGCAACTACTTAGTTTAAGAGTGTTTAAATTCACTGCAAGTAAGATTTGAATAATAATAATAATAAATGAATTGTTAAGTACCACGTCCATGTAAAATATTTGAATTATAAATTTGTGAACTGGTGATTTCTTGGAAAGTGCAAATTTATTTTACATCAGTTTTGTTTTATATTATCGCTAATTTATATATAAAAAAAATAGAACATAAGGATTCATTTAGATCAAAAGATTTGAAATGACTCCAAACAAGAAAAAAATGAAACAATTGCTCAAAAAGTTCTTAAAATGAGAGCTAAATATTTCAAATTCATTGTCGAATCAATGAATTTGTTATTATAGATTTCAAATCCATGCTACACTCGATCAAATGTAGATCGAAAATAACATGAGAGTTATGATTCATATCTAATGTATTTTATTTGGTGTAGCATGAAATAAATGAAGAGAAATAATCAATGTAAGATCAGCAAAAAAAGGAGGTGCCAACTGCACACCTAAGCTGCTAAGCACCAACCTTTGAAAAGATTCCAGTTTTAAATTAGATTAATCTATTTATATTTCCAAATACAACCAAGGAAAAAGAATTCTATGAGTAAAAGCAAGCAGTCAATAATAGAAAATAGTTATCAAAATAAAGCTGATGGCCCCCACAAAAGTAAGGCTCTTCAGTCTTCACCCTTTACCTAACGATATATATTTCCTTTTTTCTCTTTTAATTTATTTTCGTCAAAATTAAAAATATTAAATAAATTTGAAAAAATCAAATTAAACAGCACTGATCCTAGTGATCAAACTTGAATTAATTCGATATTAATTATAAAATAAAATATAATCTCATATGACACAGGATGAAAACAATAAAATCCAAAAGTAATTAAATCTCGGGATCTTTAACGAGTCAAATGGAGCTGAATATTAGCATTTCTAACCTATTTATATTTTTTTGAAGCTCGATTTAATTTAAATAAATAAACAAGAAATTAATTTTGTACAGTTCAAAAGTACGATCAATCAGCAAAAAATATAGTAAACGACAAGATCAAATCGCCTTTTCAATTTATTTTTAAAATCAAAACAGCATCTTCGCCAATTCCGCTACATCGTTTGCTGTAAGATGTACCAGCCTGACGTTACGCCCCAGCTGGATATTTTAATTTATTTTCTCAATAAAATAAAATTCTATTAAACTTTTCAAAACTCATAGTTCATCATATTTTTCAGCATAAAAAATCGGGATAAATTATAAATAAATAAAAAATAAAAACAATTCCGATCATCGTGAAAATTAAGTAACTCGGCAGAAAAATAGAAAACACCGATCTTACAATCGGTTACCGGAATCGAGATGATTACCGGTGCGCAATAGCTGATCGACGGCGAAAAATTAAAAGTTCCGACTACAAACAGATCAGATTACCAACAATCAAAATCATCAACATCATCAACATCAGCAAAAACACACAAACAAGCAGAAATATTAAATTAAAAATTAAAATAAGAACACGGATCAAGTGAAATAAGAAAATAGGTTTACCTGCGCTTAACTGATGAGCAGATTTTGATGATTTATCTCTCTAGAGAGAGAAAGAGAGAGGATTGGTTTTAGAGAGAGAGGAGTATTGGTGGAGTGGAGAGAGAGAATGTGATTGAAAATTTGGAATTAATAGTGGAAATGGCGGAGGAGCAGTGGGCTGTATGGCGGGCCCTTATTTGCAAATTGTTTTATATATCAGAATTTTCAAATGGTTTTTCTCATACCGCTGCTTTTTCCACACCGCTTTACCACTTTTGCCACGCTGCCGTGCCGTCGGCTTCTATTATTTCTGTGTATTTATATTTTATTTAATTAATTTATTTATTTTAATTTATATATATATATTGTGTGTGTGTGTGTATAAAAAAAACTATTAAAGTTTTTTTTTTTTTTGAGAAATAGTTAAAGAAGTAAAAGATTAGAAGAATAATGGTTGAGGATTATATGTATTGTAAATGTTAATCTTTTTTTTTTCTTTTGACTTTTATATATATTATGTATACATGATTAATACACTTTAATTAGATTTTCTATTTTTATATATATAATAAGAAAAACACTTAATAAGATTTCATTTTATAGTAAAAAATATTATTACTTTGATGGTCAAGTTATAGTGTGATCTACATTTTTTTATATGGTTAGCAAATTATTGTTCGTTCTAAATTACGGCCATCCCCGAAGTGAATTAAATTACGAAAACATCCCTCTTATCGGTCAAATTTAATTTTTAGATTAGAGATAGATTGGAATAATTCTAGTACAATGAAAAAACATAATTTAGGTTATTAAAACACTCAATAATGAGTTGACTTGGTGTGATTGTATTTGACTGGAAGTTCAATGTATGTATATTATATAATAATAGTTAAAACGATCTTAATTAGTATGGCCAAAAATCAATATCAAGTAACTCAATAGTAATTTCAACAATCATTTTTAATAAATTGAATAGTCAAGATGTGGTGGCTTCATTGAGTATTATTTAATTTTCAGAATTGGCGTGCGAGTAATCCTGATTTTCAGTTGAGTTTAAGTTGTCAAAATATATGTTTGGATTAAATTATGATTTTTTTAATAATAATAATAATAATAATAATAATAATAATAATAATAATAATAATAATAATAATAATAATAATAATAATAATAATAATAATAATAATAATAATAATAATAATAATAATAATAATAATAATAATAATAAATAAATAAATAAAAATTTAGACAAGAATGAAAGATGAGTTGACCATGTAGGAATCTCGATGCCAGCATCGTTGTTAAAATCTCATGATTTACTATTCGATTCGATTTATATGCTTATTGATTAAAATCTCATACTAAAATCTTAAATACATAATCTCAACTGAATATGTTAAAATTTATGATTTGATTCGAATATAAATGTTATTGCACTTTTGATGATACTAGAGATAGATTACTTTAAATAGTTGAAGTATGATGAGCAGAAAGAGCAAAGTGGATTACTGGCTCACAAATTTGATGACCTTGAGATCCATGCAATCACAGAACACGTAAACTAAGCCGGGGTTGATCTGGCGGA